TTTTTTTTGCCTTTTTTTTTTTTTTAAGCGAAAGGAAATGTTCTCTGTTTTTCTCCTCCCCATTCCATGTTGGTTTTGTTTGTAGCTGAATTACATCTTAGAGGTCAACCAATAACTGAATTTGTGAAATCAGTAATTCTCTGAAACTGTTGCATATCTATGGGCAAACAAAGGGCGGTCTTGTTGCCAGTAAATATATTCAGTTATCTGAATGAGCTGTTGTTTGAGGAAAAACAAACGAAATGAAATAGGATGACTTTTCAGGCAGAAAAACATGAATGAAAGTTGCAAGCTCCTCTTGGACACTTTACTAGATGGCTAAAGAGTTACAAATCACACTGAAGATGAGAGTGTGTTTTTAGCTAAAACCTTACCAATGAGGTACAAGCACTGGCACTGACTGAAATATGTATGAATAAAATAGAATATTATCAGAATGGGTTGTTTTGGGTTCCTGCCCCCTAAATATTAGTCAAGAAAGCTAAAGGTGTCGGGGAGAATTCTGTTACAGTAACAGCAAAAAAGAGATTAAGCATAAACAAAAATTATAACAATTTTACAAGTCCAGTATGGGTGATTTAGTAGTAGTTGCTAATGATGTAGTAAGGGCACTACCTATTTTTGTTATGGATTTAACAAAATGAGATGGATTTTGCTGTGCAAGGACAATTAAATATTGCATAGGTTTCTTATTTATAAGGTCAGGAACGGCAGTTTTGCATAACTGGCTATTTGTAGTACTGAAAGCATTAATTGAGGAAATCTCTAAGTTGCTTAGATTTTAGTGACATATATATACTCTGACCGTCACAAACATTACAGTTTCCCTAGTATTCCACAGGTTGGATAGTCTGGTGGTGGCCCTTAAATAATGGAAAAGCTGACAGGTGACCAAATATTTATGTAATTAATGAGAATGGCTGTAATTGCATTTATCATGTTTGAGGCCACGTGTTCCTGTGATGCCATGGTGAATTCTTTGCTATCAGAAATTACAGGCTTGATTGATAAACACCAATATGATAGATTTCTGCAAGGGCATTGACTTTGGGATATTTCTGTTCCCCACCCCTACCCCCCCAAAAAAACCTAAGCAACCAACCAAACCAACAAAACCAGCATATCATGAATGAAGTTCTTACATAGCCAAATGTCAAGGTTTGAAGTGAATGCATTTATGTCTTTTTGTCGTTGTGGAGGGGTAACAGCAGGGCATACAGGAGAATCGCTTTACTTTGTTGAGGTTGATTTTGAAACACTAGTACAATTCTAGTTTGAACAGCTTATAATGGATATTGGGGGGAGAGAGTGGGGAAAAAAGATTGGATTGAACATGTAAATGTGAATCATTCTGCAAGATGTTTTCACCAGCCCTCGACTTTGGCTGATTTTACTTATCAAAGACAAGATTGAGAGGTGTCTTAATTTCAGTATGTAACTATGTCTATGTACACTGCTGGTCTCTCCTACTCACCAGTTTCTGAACTACGCTGAAAAAAAACACAAAGCAGTAACTGGAAGCTTACGTTTGGTAACCTCATTTGGGGTATCTAGATGTTAATCACAGCCATGAAAACACACATTAACTGTTAGAACAAGCTACCAGAGGAAGTCATGTTGCCACATCTAAATTGGTGGTATCTTTTGGGGAGTTTCTTTAAAGCGTAACTGATAATTCAGCTCAAACACAGAAGAAGAAGGGTTTATTGTCTGGTGTTCAGGTTAGATTGAATGAGGCAATAGTTTCTTTGAAGTTCTGTGAATCTTTGAATAACAGAGTCATTCCCTGTATTACTGCTTTGCATGCTGCTGATGCTTTGCCCCACATTCTTATTCATATAAATACACTGAAATGTCTTGCCGTCGATACCAGTTGTACATTCCAGAAAGGCTTTATATCTGTAAAAGTAAATATGGGAACAGACTGTATTTGGTGGCACCTCCATTGCTGCTTCTAAAGAGCAAGTTGGCAGGCATCAGGAATATAGGTTAGCTTTTGCCATCTCCTTGCGTCAAGCCAGGATCAACTGAAATGGTTTCTGAGGACAGTTTTAGACCTATATCCTGCAGGTTTTTTAATACTGCATTTGCAATAGTGCTGTGTAGTGCGGGGTAGGATTCTTTCAACTTCCTGAAGTAGCAGTGTTACCTGTAATGCAATGGCAAGAGCTTATATATGGTCTTCATTAGAGTGAGCTTGCAGTACTTATTTCCAGGTCTGTCATCCTCTGTATCTTTCCTGTGTCTGACTTTGTTTGTCATGAATTTTGTTATTTAGACAACTTAAAGTGGAAAGGAACTTTGTAATACTCAAACTGTATAGTTGCTGGAGCTTACTCTTTGAGCTTTCAGTAGTATGGAAACAGTGGAAAAGATAGGTGGAGACTGACAGTCCAGATAAGAAAGCAATTTAAATCATAACTAGCCTGTGCTGCTGGAATGCTTACCACTGGTGGAGTGAAGTCATGCCGGAATCTTTCAGACAATGTTTACGATGGCATAGGTCTCCAGGATGACCTGCTTTACAGAATTACTTAATTGCTGACAGTTCTCAAAGCCTGTAGAAAACTAGTTCATGAGTTATACAGCTGGACTGAAGACTTTTAACCATTGTAAGCACAAGTCTAAAAAGGACAACTAACTAACTTTAAAACTCTGCATTTATTTAATGAGAATGCAATGTGTAATATACTAGTCAGTATTGATCCCTGTTTATTTTGCTACTCTTTTGCAATCAAATTTCATGATTTTATATTTATAGTTGCTGCTATTTAAGTCGAAGATTAAATCAGCTATCAAGCCACGATCCGTTGTGGAAAAGACACTGCAAGAAATACTGGCTCATTTCAGAGTAAGTGTGGTTGTTTTAAACCTTTCTTCTATGAAAATAAGGCTTATGTTACTGTGCTGTCTGTTTATGTCCACATTACTTCCAGTAATTCTAAGATTGGATTCGTGTTTGCCAGCTTCTCACCACCTTCAAACCGATGAAGGATTAGAGGTATCAAAAATGTTCATTTCCTAAAAAAGCTTCATGAATGTACAAGTGTTAACAAGTTTTATGGATGGGTAGAGAAGAGGTGCCCTGTTAATGCCTAGGCTGAAGGAGAAGTTGCAGCTTGACCTTATCAGACACCAGACATTCTATGGAAGAAGTAATATCCTGAGTGCTGTAATTATGAGGGGTACAACTGGATGCTTGTGTCAAGGGTAGCCATTACTGGAATCACAGAATAGATGAGGTTGGATGGGACCTTTTGAGATCCTCTAGCCCAACTCCCCTGCTCACGCAGGGTCACCTAGAGCAGGTTGTCCAGGACCGTGTCCAGTGTCCTGTCAATGGGCACTGCTGAGAAGAGTTTGGCTCCATCTTTGCTCCTTCCCATCAGGTAATCGTGCGCATTGATAAGATCCCCCTGAGCCTTCTTCGGGCAGAAGAGTTCCAGCTCTCTCAGCCTTTCCTCAGGTGAAACATGCCCCAGTCCCATAACCATCTTTGAGGCCCTGCACTGGACTTGTTCCAGTATGCCCATGTCTTTCTTGTAATGAGGAGCCTAGAACTGGACACAGCACTCCAGATGTGGCTTCACCAGTGCTGACTAGAGAGGAAGGATCACCTCCCTTGGCTTGCTGGCAACACTCTTCCTTTTGCGGCCTGTGATACCGTTGGCCTTTTTTGCTCTAAGGGTGTGTTGCTGGCTCATGGTCAACTTGGTGTCTACCAAGACCCCCAGGTTCTTCTCAGCTGGTCGGTCCCCAGTGTGTACTGGTGTCTGGGGTTATTCCTGTCCAGGTGCAGGACTTTGCATTTCCCCTTGTTGAACAGAAGATTCTTTGCCTGCCTTCTCTGTATGGCTGCACAACCATCTGCTATATCAACCACTCCTCACAGTTTTGTAGCATCTGCAAACCTGCGGATCGTGTACTGTCCCATCATCCAGGTCATTAATGAAGACGTTAAATAGGTATTAGCCCTAATATGGAGCCCAGGGGTACCCCACAAGTGACTTGCCTCCAACTGATCACCCTTTGGGCCTGGTTGTCCAGCCAATTTTCAGTCCACCTCAGTATCTACTTACCAAACCCACATGCTTGGTCAGCTTCTCTGTGATGATGTTAGCAGAGAGACAGTGTTGAAGGCTTCACTAAATTTGAGGTAAACAACATCCACTGCTCTTCCCTCATCCATCAAACGAGTCATTTGTAAAAGGCTTATCAGGTTGGTCAAGCATTATTTACCCATCGTAAATCTATGCTGACTGCTCCTGATCACCTTCTTGTCTTTCTTGTGTTTGGAAATGCTTTCCAGGAGGATCTTCTCCATCATTTTCCCAGGGAAGTCACATTGGGCTCTGTAAAATGTTTTACATATGTGGTTCTTGAGGTGTGTTTTTTTTTAAAAAAAGTTCACTTTCTGTTCTGCTTGCTTGCATAGAACTTGGGATGTCTGTTAAGTGGAAGCTAACTATAAAGGTATTAATCCACATTTTTGCCAAAAGGGCATGTTTTTCTCAAGAGCTGAGAAAGCTCGTAGAGTTGACCGAAGTGAATTAGCAACGAGTTTTGTTACTGCTTATCCCCTCTTTGTGTCCTGGTTTCTAGACAGTATCTTTCTTTTTAGATTGTAAATTGTGAGGACTATTAACTGCTTAGGACTTCAGTGATCAGTTCCGTCTGTTTTTCCATTATTCAGGTTATGCAGGTGCTCCTTGTATTACACGAGGCTAAGATGGCAGAACAGCTAGTGATAAGGAGTTAATATATATGCATAAGGGGGTGGAGAAGGTAATTTAGGAAAACATTTCCAAACTTCTGGTTTGTAATCTATATTATATCATATGGACTGTATTAAAAATTAACAGCAAGCTAAGTTGAATCCGCAAAGATAAACATACTGTGCACATTCTAATTATATGCAGCTTATGAAGTTATAACACAACTTGTAAAATTTTGCCTTGGGATTCTCCGTGCAAAAATTCTATGTGATATTCTCACTAGAATCCAAACTAGAAAGGAAAATCTGGTGGGAGGCAGGGAAAGAAGGTAAGGAAACGAGAAGTTCAAACTGTGTGCCTGATGCTTTAGAAGAGGAGCTTGGTGCGCATGTGGGAGAAGATGAGGGGCTTATAGGGCTTTGCGAAGGAGAACTGGCTCTGGGGTTGGTTGCTGAGATTCTGGCTTCTCCATAGCCAAGAAAAACTGAGTAATGAAGGCCGTAGCTAATTTCTACAAGTAACGCACGGAGGGTGAAAATATACTGAAACTTCTGTCACCTGCTCACACATAATTCACTTTGTGGTTTGGGTTTTTTTTACCTCTTTGGTTTGACATTAGTTTATCTAACTTCCTAGGTTAAACTTAATCTACTTCCCCTCCGCCCCCCTCAATTCCTCTTCAAGAAATAAGGTTGTTCTCTCCTTTTTAGAGCTAGAGAGATCTTAAAGGTGATGTGAAGACTTCTCAATTGTTACATTTTTATTTAGGTGTATGAAGCTGTACTAAATCTTTTAGATTCATCTGCCAATTGGAGTTTGAGGAGTTGGAATATATCCTAACACAAAGATGTAAGGGCTGCTACAATTTGGAGGCAAGCATCCTTTGTCAGGTGTTAGTGCTTTTTTGGCAGCCTGTCTTCCCATAGCCTGCTGTTGTGCCTGTGAGGAGAACTGAGTATAGAATCATAGAATCGTTTAGCTTGGAAAGGACCTTTAAGATCATTGAGTCCAACCATTATGCAGTAATTCCTTGAGAAAGTGACTTTCCAGATCAGTGCACAGAGTTCTCATTTAACTCTCTGGTTTGCTCCTTAATCCTTCTTACTGGGTAAATAAAGGAGTTTGTGACTAATGCAGTAGATGAAAAAATGTGATTTTTTTTTTTTTTGAAGGCCTTCTCTGTGTATGTGTGAAATGTGATGTGAATTAGCTGTTCACCAGTTTTAAGATTTAATAATAGACAGCACTCTGTTTAAAGGAATACTCTTTCTAAATATTCCCCTCATAGTATGTACCCCACATGTTTCCTAATTCTCTTCCAAGTTGCTGTTGAATAGATGCCGGAATTAATTGAGTTTACGTAGCTTCACATGGCTCAAAGTGTTCCTGGCTTAATATTATGCATACTGTTTCTGCCAAATAACAAATATTAACGTTTTGGATTTAGAAGTCAAGCTTTTTAGGCTGGTATTTGAACTTACTTTTTTCATGTCCACTTAGAGAGGAAAAAAGCCAACGAAATCAGAGCTGGAAAGCCATTTTCATCAGTACCTACTCTGATTTAGGAAGATACATCCGATACTATGCTACCTTGAAAAAAGCCTGGGATGACCTAGAGAAATACTTGGGACAGCGGTGTCCTCGGATGATTGGTTCTTTGAAAGGTACGGTGTAATACCCTCTTTCTCTCGTAGGTTGGCTGATGCAACATTGTCTGTTATTAAGTTTCATACTGCTTTCATCCTAGGTGTGTGCCTCAATTACTGGAGTCCTGAAAATCAAGTAGATGGGCTTTCCCTTCCCCTCCACTAAATAAGTAAATTGGACCACATGCATAGTCCTTGCCCAGTGACACTAGTGATCCATAGATTGTCTGAAGATTTCTTTTGCAGAGAAGAAATCAAGATTATTTTTTTTCTAGTGATCAGGCTGTCTTCTTTATCTCTGGATAATCAGGAAATGAATACACTTTTACTGTTTTTATCTTTGGTTACTATGACTTTTTTTTTTATTTGTATGTTTATTATTATTTTTTAGTTCAATAATCCCATTACTTCAAGGACCTGGGATGTGCTGGTGTGATTTTATTTGTGAGATTTTCTTA